GCTGAGCGCTCCATCTCAGGTTCACTTACTTTCCAAGCCAATCTTTTGCCATGGTAAAACTATTTCCTGTATTTGGTTTTGAAACTGTGCTGTAAATATTTTGAGTCCGTTTGGTTTCTATTTGATATAAAATGCGGAAAAGGTCTCATAACCTGAATCTCATTTTTACTAAGGACCTATAAGTGACTTGGGTTATACAGTGTTGTTTTATATAAATGTTCTGCTCAGGTGCACTAGGAGAAAGAAGAACCTCGTTTTGCTGTGTTCATGTTTGCAGATTTCTACAGAGCCAGTTATATAAGGGGCAAAAGCACCAGAAGTATAGAAAACAGAACATTTCAAAATAGTTTCAAACTGATGGGGAAGGGAAGACAAGTATTTGCCTGTCTTTTTTTTTAGAATGGCAAATGTCTTGGCAAGCAACAAATAAGAGTTTTCTGGCAAAAATAATTCCTTTCAGAAATGTCAGGTGGGCAGAGATTTTACACATGCATCTTGTTTCCAGCAGACCCCAATTTGTATGTCAAGATTTTATTTTCATCAGTAAGGATAGCTTGTGATGCACTGCAGACCACAGGAAGGTGACTTTCTCTACTGTCTTGAGATAATTTTGTTGAAAACTACTTATAGTTTTGATGTATGGAGGCAAGATAACTGAGTTGCTGATTTGGGACCCCATTAATAAAGAATTAAATGAGGGTGATATAAAGAATGTCAGTCAACATGGTGTGAAGGTATAAGGGAGATCGCTGAACTGAGGTCAGAGGCCAGCAGCTGACTGACTGGCTGGCTGATTAGTCCCACCCAATGCACCTTGGAAAAAGACCTGCAGCTTACCTGGCTGATCCTCATAAAAGGAAGAGCAGGAAATGGAGAGGGAGAGCTACAATACCTGCCAGAGGCTGGAGTTACTGCTCCCAGAAACAAAACGGACAGAAAACAGAGCGTGCAAAGTCCTATTATCAAAAAGGCTCTGAGGTAAGAGCCATAACATATGGGTTGATGAACTTACAGGGGGTGAGGGACAGACTTAGGGAAGTTTTGATCTCGTTTTGTTGAGACTTGAAATAAAATAAAAAGAAAATGTGACTGACCCTGCTGGAAACTGCCTTCCCTGGACTCGGTGAGACGGATCCAGGCAGAATTCCCCGGAGGAGGGTGCTGGCGCACCAAGAGCAAGCCAGGGTCCAGCCAGAAGAGGGAACTATAAGACGGGTCCCAGACTCGTACATGTGGGTTAATGGAAAATAGACCCTGTCAAACTAATTGGGTATCTTTTTTTTTTTATGAGATTACAAATTTGATTGAGAGAGGTACTAGTGTTGATGTAGTAGACTTAGACATCTGTAGAGCTTGTACCTCACATCGTTTTGATTAAAAAACAAAATGTACGTGGCACACATTAAATTGATTAAAACCTGGCTAGATGACAGGTCTCAAAACATAATTGTAAATGGGGAATCATCACAGAGTGGGAGTATGTCTAGTGGGGTCCCACTGGGATCAGTTCTTCACCCTACTCTATTTTATATTTTTATCAAGGACTTGTCAGAGACCATAAAATCACCACTGACAAAGTTTGCAGATGCCACAAAGAGTGGGGGAGTGGTAAATAATGAAGAGAGCCGGTTACTGATACAAAACTATCTGGATTGCTTCGTAAACTGGGTGCAAGCAAACAATAAGAGATTTAATATTGGCTAAATGTAAATGTATAAATATAGGGGGGAAAAGTGTAGGCCATACTTACAAGATGGAGGACTCTATCCTGGAAGACAGTGAAAAAGATTTGGGGCCACAATGGATAATCAGCTGAACATGAGTTCCCATTGTGATTCTGTAGTGAAAAGGGCTAATCAATCCTCGGTTGCATAAACAGGGGAATATCAAATAGGAGCAAAGAGGTTGTTTTACCTCTGTATTTGGCACTGGGCTGAAACACTGTGTCCAGTTCTAGTACCCACAATTCAAGAAGATTTATCAAGAAGTTGATAAATGAGTGAGGGTTCAGAGAAGGGCCATAAGAATGATTAAAGGATTAGAAAACATGTTTTATAATGACAGGCTGAAAGAAATCAATCTATTTAGTTTAAGAAAGAGAAGGTTAAGAGGTGACTTGATCATAATCTATAAGTACCTACATGGGGAACAAATACTTGATAATGGGCTCTTTAGTGGAGCAGATGAGTTACAATCCAAAGGCTAGAATTTGAAGCTAGACAAATTCAACCTGGAAATAAGGTGTCAGTTTTTAACAGTGAGGATAATTTAACCATTGGAACAATTTACCAAGGGTGGTTGTGGATTCTCCATCACTAGCAATTATTAAATCTAGATTGGGTGTTTTTTTTCCCAAAAAGATCTGCTCTAGGAATTGTTTTGGAGAAGTTCCATTGCCTGTGTTATACAGTAGATAAGACTATATGGTCACAATGGTCCCTCCCTTCTGGTCCTGGGACCTTATGACTCTATGACATCCTCTCCCGGGTGGCCCATTTCTCACGTAATTATTTCAAGTATTTGCTTTGCAGCGATTTGTCTTTCAGAGAGATAGGGAGTGTAGAAATCAAAGGATGGATGCATCCTTGGATCATGAGACTTTAAGCCTGAACAATCTCTTTCCTCATTCTCAGGCATTTCAGAGGGGGAGAAGTCTCACCACGTTCTTCCAAAAACTTAATTTTGTCAAGTAAAACAAAACAGGAGACAGAGCTCATGTACAATGTCCTTCTGCCATGGCATCACCTGTGATCTCCCCCTCCCGTTTCCTTTGCTCCTCAGTCATTTCCCTGCCCCTTTTCTCCAATCTCCTTATTCTTCCTCTTGACTATCTATCTTTGGCTCCCTTCTTTAGGTACCTGCCCCCCACAACTTTAATGGAAGAGATAAAGATGCCTTTACGTTTTGTCTGCCACTGCTGTCTCTGGCCCTGATTCAGAAAAACATTGATATTTTGGACAGCTCTTAACGCTCCTGAATCAGGGCCTCTGCATGTAAACCTGGTGCTTGGCATCAGAATGCAGAACCTTAGCTCTGCATGGCTTCCCCAACATTTATCATGTATTTGGAGAGTATGGAGGACTGGGTGCCCGATTATTGTGTGCCCTGCTCACCAGCTACAATCCTGACCCTGAATGTAGAAAAAAAGTGTTGTAAACCAGTTCTGGAGTTAAATTTTTTAAAGTGTGTATAATCTTATAGTACCTCCACAGGCATACTCTGTTGTGTTGTCACATGCATTCATTCTAAAGTTGGCTAAGGACAAAGTGAATGAAACCATCTGCCTCCAGAGCTGCTCTAATGAGTCTCAAGGAATTTTGAGACTAGAATAATCTTTGGACTTCTTTTTAAAGGATGTTAAATTTTCTTGTGTATACAAGGTCTCTTCTGAATTAAATTATTCTTTAATATCGTCTGTATTTTCTTCCACTGATTATATAAATTACCTAGCTAACAGGACCCTGTGTCTCCTGAAATGAAGGAATGATGCATTATCATTGTGTTTCATAAAAAGATCCCGTGATTCTTCAAATAAGCTGATACATTTTGGCTCTCAGAGCGATCGAGTAAATCCTCCAACAGAGCATTTGTCATGCAGAAAACGTCTTTCTTGTAATAGTAAATTATCTAAAATAAGAAAAAACTGTTTCCTGTGCTCCAAAATAAGGTTAGCATTTATTTAATAAATGTGTCTAAGGCTTCTTCTATACTTTTTCACCGAATAAAATATTTTACTTTATTAAAGAATTAGATTGAGGCTGAAAGTGTAGGCGTATTCCAAAAGGCTGGGAAAAGGCCTTTGTCTGAACCCAAACACATCTTATTCCTTGATAAAATGATCAGGAAGACCAAACCTAACTAAAAGCAGTGACAGCATCAGGAAGATGGATGTTGTATCAAGTCAAGGACTCTAAATCTTCCCACACAAATTTTCACTGATGTAACTTCATTGAAGTCGATAGAGTTTAGATCCTGTAAAACCAGTGTAGGTGGGAGGAGAACTAGGCCCAAGATGTTTGGAGACAGCCACATTTTAAAAGACTAATTTTTTTCCTCTTCATTAGGTGCAATTCAAAACACTTGAGTTTTAATCATCACTCTCTCCTTTGGTACTATTAAGATTATTTTGAGTATAAATATTACTTTTCAGTAAATCTTGCTGAAAATCCAGTAAAAATTTCATAGACATTTTTCAGTTTTTGTAAAAAAAATTTTTTCAATAATCAAAATCTTCAGTCACAAAAATACCCTGAATTTTTTCCATTTAATTTTATGTCAAAAAGTTTGGTTTTTTAATCAAACTCAAAATTCAGGAATCGTTGACCGCTTTTGAATTACTTAAAAGCTCACATACAAGCATTCCAAGCTGAAGATGGTTTGAATACTGTAAAAAAAGGGAAATGTTTCTCTCTTGGAGCCCAGCTCCACTATGAAATTGTACCATGATTTACTCTAGATTTTTCTTAAATAAAAAAATAGAGAGAGTCCGGGGACATGATGATGACCAGGACTGACTGGTCAGTGTAGACAAGGAGAAGGAGGTTCAGCATCATGATAGCTAGTCATGGGGTAGTTCCTCACTCCAGTAGTGTTCACCCATGACTAGCTGACATGATGCCAAGCACAATTTAGCTTAGTCTGCAGTGAGTGGGTAAGCATTGTCAATTCATTCAACTAGATTTTTAATGGTATAACTAGGATTACATTTCCTAGTGAAGAAAAAGGTTGTGTGGGTCTCTGTTAACCTTTAAAAGTTAACACTGTAGACAGTGGAACTTCCCAATGTGTTTATCCTTTTCCAGAGGAATGGACTGTGTCAAAAGATTATTTTTTTAAGAGTCTTATCTGCATTGCTTCATAAAGTGATACATGGTAGTCCTGCCACATGGTAATCCTGCCTATATATAAAAAATAGCACTATGTGGTTGTATTATTTGTGTAGTGGTGGCTTCTTTGACCTTGCCAGAGGGCCTGACCTTTCTTCCTCTTTTCATCCTCAGGCCATCTCTCGCTTGTGTGAAGACAAGTATAAAGACTTCAGGAAATCTACAAAGAAACGGTCAGTTAGTGCTGACAATCTGACTGTGGTTAGATGGTCCCCTGCCATCATCTCCTAACAATGGAGTCTGGGATATTTCGACAGAAGGACTGTTTCATCCATCCAAATTTTTTGGAGTGTAATGGGGGAAAGACAAGACTTTGGGGTTTTTACTTTTAGATCCGTCAAGCTGCCTTTACAGTGCCTCCCCCTTGTGTAGCACATAAGAATAAAAAATTGAGTGGAAGGAGAAATCAGTACAGTATACAGGAAAGGAGATTGAAAGCAACTCTTTTTGTCACTATTCCTCACAGCTTTACCCTTTTTGTGAGGAAACAGCTAGTCAAATGCTTGGAAGAGGAAACAAAACAAAAAAAAATGGAGGAGAGGCAGAAAGAGATTAGGGGACTGTGCCATTTTTTTAATATGCTGTACTCTTCAGCAGAAATGACGGCATGAAACCAAACCACACGATAAGTTTGGCTGTGCACTATAGGAATGGAGTTGAATTATTTCATCTTAAATTATTCTCCTTAGTTTTTTTTTTTTTTTTTTACTTGCTTCTTTGGGTTATTTTTCCAGCTCTTCTGCACAGCAGCAAATACAAAGTCTGTATCTACAGTAGCACAAACCTCTGAATAAATAGTATTGGTGGTTTTTTTCATTGCACTTTTCTCCGTGGTTTGACTTATTTGCATTATTCTTCATAATCATTATGCATATGTTATGTTTTATATGCCTTTTATTGTACTTAAAAATATAACTTGACCATAGTGCTGAACCAAAAGTTTATACCAAGATCAGATGATCATTCGTAATTTCATGATTATTTTATTTATAGTATATGTAGGTGTGTGTGCCTTCCTAGAATCATTTATATTTCCTTAATATAAAGACAGGATTGTTGGGAGGATTCAATGATGAGACTTGGGCCAAATTGTTGAAATTTCCATCAGATCTTGTAGTCCTTTTTGCAAATTTTCATAGCATTAGAAGTTTAGAAGAATTCATTATATAAAAGAGAGGTTTTTTTGTATAGGCCAACTAGTTCATTCCTTCACCCCCAGGTCCATTGTTGCAAGCAATAGCCTCAATTTTTATATGTTTACTTTAAATCAAAGTTAGTTTGTTTGTATAAAATAAAAAACTTAAAAAAAAAAATTGTTCCAGTGAAAAGGTCCATAGAAGAGCAGAATGTTAATCTTTACCAAGGTATTTGTCACAGGTAGATCGAATTTAAAAAATAAAAATAAAATAAACCCTTTCATTTTTCAGTGTAGGTGCTTTCAGAAATTTAAACAAAATTCAAACTGTGAAGACCATTTTCTGCTATGTTGATTATTGTACTCTTCTGTTGTTATTGGTTCCCTTCTCTTACCATGCCTATTCCCTCATGAGAGACACAAGAACCTTTTATATCAAATAATGTATCTGTGTAAAAACATTTGTTTGCTCTATAATGCTTGTGGGTGTCTGATTTTATGAAGATTTTTTGCACATTTTAGAAAGATACAGTTGAAAAATCTGGGTTCCCTGAATTTTTTTGCAAGTTTCCTTGAAGTGAATAGCAGCAGACTTCCTGTATTTGACTTGCTTTATGCACTACTTCAGACAGTAAACGATAAAGAGTCCCTATTAGTTTTATTAAGCCCCAAGGGCTTATAGCAGACATACGGGCTCATGGATACATATTCCACCCCCAGTGCAATGCTGATCAGATGCCTTGAAAGTGGAGAGGCACTGAAAGGATTGAAGTACTAATACCAAACAGAGTTTTCTATTAATATTCTAATGTGATATGTATAGTATGAAACATAAATGTTCTTAGTGTCTTTCAGGGCATTAAAAGTAATCTAATTCTCATCCTTTATCATTGTGCCAATGCATCAGAACTGTGAGTACCCAGGTCCCTTTCTTTTCCTTGAACATCGAATGTAAAGACCACTCTTTAAAATAAAAAAAAATTAGAGCATTTGAAACTCAATTCAAAATAGAGCTAATGGGACATTTTCCTAGCATTTGGACTTTGAGATCCCTGCCAAGCATAAATTTAGGTTTTACAGATCTGTAAAACAATTTGTTTGATCAAGCCTTTGCAAAGCAATTTTCTGTTAACTTTATAGCAGGAATATTAGTTTTATCCATATTTTTCAGTGATAGAGATATGAACGCTGAACTATGTAAAGATCTCAGTGCATCTACTATAATTTTTGTGGAGTTTATTAAACTACTTTAAAGATTGTATAGTCTATTTATTGTATGTATGTACATACAGTCTGATTTAAAAAAAAGTGGATTCCGTAAAACCCGGCTCAGTCACGTTTAGACTATTGAATATTGTTTTAGCCTTGTGCACTGGACTCTACCTCTGTATAGGAGAATTTTCCATATCCTTATTTAGTACTGATTCTGTGATTAACTTGGTTGTTTCTTGCACTAAGAATTAAAAATAAAAAAAAATACTGCTCTGTGTATTTTTTCTTTAGTTTCAGTTTTGCAGTCAGAATCACTTACACTTAGATGGACTTTTCTTTCCCAAATGGTTATGGAATGCTTTGCTTTCTGTTTTGGTTTGTTCTAAGTCTGCCACAGACCCAAACAATGATACAATACTTATCAATAAATCTAAGTGAGTATAATTTGTTTGAAAGGTATTCAATTCCATGTAATTAAAAATGGAATTATTATTTAGGATTACACTGTGTTAGTGTAGTTTTTTGAAATATCATTGGATCGCAAATATCATCACGAGAGGGGGAAGTCTTCTTCAGAGAACAAACAAAAAAGGCCAAACAGTGTTTTATCAATGCAAATGCTTTGTGGATTTATTTTCAACATCTACAATATCAATTTATCATTTAAAAAATTTGCTGGGATGTTTCTGGATTTATTATTTCGCTATTGTCTTAATCAGAAACAGAATGGAGTTGGAGATTTCATATAAGACCTCCTCAACTATCACCGTCTTAATGAATTATACACTGTTTGGGGCCCATGGGCCCTTGCGTTATATAGAGCCTAAACAGAGGGAATTGGGAAAATGTTTATAGAAGACATCTTGTAATGGTTTTTCTGTGCACCCTTTTACAGCCAGAGACTGCATTGAGAACAGGCATCTCCATTCCTCCCTCTCTAAAAAGCAATTGGTGTTGCAGTTGATGAATAACTTCAGCCATTGTATTTGTCCTTTTGTAACCACTCTTCCTTGAGGCTTTATTTTATTAAGTTTTTAAATGTTGGAATCAATATGTAAATAGATTTGTATGGAAAAGAACTGTTTAGCAGCAAAAAGACCTACAGATTTTTCAAAAAAAAAAAATATATATATATATATATATACACCCGCACCCCTTCTGTTAATAAAAATATGAAAATTCCTGGACTACTTGTCACTGGTTGGTATTTTCTGCCTCTCTCGGAGGCTGCATGTCCTGGATCTGGTACACTCAAATAACATTTCAAGGTCCAGTGACCTGAATAACCACATGTATGTTGTTAGTGCCACCATTCTCCTTTTTGAACACTTCTTCCTTTATCCTCTGCTTTGTTTACTAATGCCAGATAGACCTTGGATGTGGCATATAGCCTAGAAGTTGCAAAAACCTCATCAGAAGTTGAAGAGCTTCCTAGTGAAGTTTTTTTGTGTGTACGGCGGCAGATGACAAAGTGATATCTGGCAATCTTGGCTATCTACAGAAAATAGCATTACGTGGGAGGGGGTACAGAAATACAAAAGTAGACAGCCTGAGAAAACAAAGCCTTAACAGATGAAGCAACAGAAATTCTTTACAGTCACACATTGCTCACAAATGTTACATTTTCTAATGATTCATCTAAACTGCAGGTGGAAATGCCTGCTCAGAACTAAATTGATCTCTGTTTGTGTTTTATCGTGGAGAATTCACCAACAGCTCTTACCTTAACAATTTAGTAGTGCCTGGCTAGTTTATAGAATTCAATACACACCATCCCTCTAATCTAAATAGTTTAACACTTGGAGGAAAAATGTATTTATGGTTGTTACGAAACATGCCAGCATTTCCCATGTCTTGAGCTGATCCCTCATGGTGTCACTATTTTTTTTTTTTAAGCAAAGGACTAGTGTTTGTATGTGAAAAGCCAAATGTGTTCATGGGTGTCAGGACTTGAATCCATACAGAAACTAAGCATAATCATTTCAAGTGTTCAGAGCCATAAAAGGCAACAGGTATCTTTCTCTTGAAGAAACAGCTTCCCTCCCCTCCCCTGCTGACTTTAGGGATATCACCAAATACATTATTTGCCTATCCCTGAGAGACCACAGAAGAGGAGGTGGGAGCTGAAACTGGCATAGAACTGAGGTGCTGACGTAGGATGTGCCATGTCCATTGTCAGGGGCAAATAAGTTTTACTGGAGATGTAAAGCTCAAGAAGAGAAGCAGCTGATCATAAAGAAACAAAAGAAGACATTGTAAGCAGAGATGGTAAGGCCAGAAATTACCAGTCTAATCATCTAGTCTGACCTGCCTAACAGCAAGCCTAGAATTTTACTCAATAATTCCTTTAGCAAGACCATATCTTCTGGTTGAGCTAGAGCTTATCTTTTAAAAGGCTTCAAGCTCTTGAACTATTCTCTCCTCTTCCCCCCCCTCCCCCCCATTTGTGTATGGCACAGATCTACAGTATGACTTCAAGAAAAACAAGAAGACTTGAAATTCTGATATCAGTAGAGCAGCTGCTCCTCTGCATTTTGTTTTGCCTCGAGTGTGCAAACTCAGGTAATGCACTTCTGTTTACTTTTGTAACATTACTAGATCCTCAGGCAAGCTGAAAGCAGCCTCAAGAGAGCCAGGAACAGTAGGAGACCGATTCAAGCGAAGTACTTGACAGAGCAGTATGAATAAATTGTTTCTTGCAATGATGAATCTACCTAACGTTGTAGTTCATAATAACCACCCTTAATTATTTGACTCTGTTCTTTTTAAGTGCATTTCTTCATGTACATTCTCCCTTAGCAATATCTCTGGTATTGTAGAGCATACAAAAATATGAACATATTAAAAATAAAATCCTTTCTAATGTTTGTGTGGAGCTGAGCAAAGCTACTTTACTACAGAACAGATTCTAACTTTTTAATGACCATAAGCCTATAAATTCACTACACTTTTTTTCTGTAGGCATAATTATTTACCTGTAGGAGTAAGCCAACTGGCTATATCAGTCATCCTGTTAGTGCTATGTCAAAATGTGCATGTCTGGTGGTGTTTTTTTCTGAATACAACAGCTGGGTCATTGTCACATTACAATGAGATCTCTTTACAAATAAAAGCAAACAGAAGAGCCATTTCTTGAGGCCTTATGCAGGTCAAAGATAAGCCCAGAATTTGAGTTTCACGATTATAGGGGAACTTTCGAACATACACTGTGAATAAGGATTAGCTGCAGCTGGGAATAAATTGAACAAATTTCATGCCCTGTGTGATAAGTTTGCATGCTGATAGCTATAGCCTGGTTTGCCATGTCAGTTGGGAAGCTGAGTGCAGCTGGGAAGACAGCCTCCTTAAAAGCATTAAACATTTTCTCCAGTCATTAAGTCAGAAAGGAAACAGGGATGGCTCACTTCCGTTAATAACAAAGTCTAGATATACCAGCGGAGTGACAAAGGGTGGATGGAAGGGTGGGAGGGCGAGTGAGAGAGGGGAGAGAATTTTCAGCCAATTGAGCAGCTTAACCAAAGCATAGGATCCATTTAGACTCTGAAGCCTGAGTGGGAGCACAGGGCACAGTCATCTGCATATCGAAGTTCAATGACTGATTTAGAGAGAGCTTTTGTCTTGGATTGGAGGTGAATAAGTTTGAAGAGCTTGCCGTCCATTCTGTATTGGAGGAGGTTGTCAGTGATGAAGATAACAGCAAAGAAGATGGAGAAAAGGGTTGGACTGCTGACACAGCCTTGCTTAACTCTGGTCTTAAGTAGGAAGGGGTCTGTTTCAGATCCATTGCTGTTGACCATCTCAGACTTGTCATGGAGGAATCAGAAGATGGCAACAAATTTTGGCAGACATCCAAATTTAAGAACTTTCCACAGAGCCTCACTATTGATGGGGTCGAATGCTTTCCTGAGGTTGATGAAGGCCATGTACAGAGGTTGATGTTGCTCGTGGCACTTTTCCTGAAGTTGGTGGGCAGTGAAGATGTTAGTGGTACTTTGAGAGAGTCTGAATCCGCATTAAGAACAGGAGTACTTGTGGCACCTTAGAGACTAACAAATTAGTCTCTAAGGTGCCACAAGTACTCCGGTTCTTTTTGCGGATACAGACTAACAGCTGCTACTCTGAATCTGCATTGCAATTCTGGACAGATTTCCTCAGCCAAGGGGAGCAGTCAGTTGAGGAGAATTGTGGCAGGAATCTTTCTAGAGATGGACAACAGGGCAATTCCTCAATAGCTCGCACAATCTGATTTGTCTCCTTTTTTGAAGATGTTCATGATCGTGGAATCGCTAAAATAAAATGGGATTTCTTCTGAATGCCATATCTTGAGGATTAAGATGTGAAGCTGGTGAGCCAGTTCTTCTCTTTCTTTGAAGATTTCAGTGGGGATTCCATCAGGTCCAGATAACTTATTGTTCTTTATTTGTTTGACTTTCTTTACCTCTATGAATGTTGGTGGGGTTCTGAGGTTATCCTTGATGGGATTAATTCAAAAATGCTTTTTTCAATGTTGAAGTCATGATTCAGGATATCTTTGAAGTATTCCATCCATTGGGCATTGATCAGCTCGTTGTTCCTGAGGAGGCTGGCGCCATCCCTGGATCTGAGGGGGGGGGCTAGTCCTTGGATGCTAGGACCATAAAGGGCTTTGGTAGCATTGAAGAATCCATGCATGTCATGGGTGTTGGCGAGTTGTTTGATCTCCTTCGCTTTCTTCTCCCACCACAGGTTTTCCTTTCAACTTCTGCTTTGAGTTGATGGTGGATGTATTGCTTCTCTTTGGAACTGATGTCATTCTGCCAAGCACAAAAGGCCTTGCATTTATGATCAGTCAGGTCTTGGATTTCCTGATGATTCTCATCAAACCAGTCTTGGTGCTTCCAGGTTGAGAAGCCCAGTGTTCCCTCACACACAGCCTGGATGGCTGATTTGAGTGCTTTCCAGTGATCTTCAGAGCTCTCCATTTAGGTTTTGATATTCATCAGTTTCTTGGTGAGGCACTGCTGGAAAAGGTCACATTTAGTTGGGTTTTAAGACTCTCAATGTTGATCTTCCATCCAATCTTTCTTCCTCGTTCGTCGTTTTGGTGCAAGTTTGATGGAAGTGATGGCGCGGATAAGGCAGTGGTCTAACAATCGTTGGCACCAGACATTGCTTTGGTGATGTGAACGCCTTCACAGTCATGAGCACAGACAATGACATAGTTGATCAGATGCCAATGCTTAGAGCCTGGGTGTTCCCACAGTGTCTTATATTTA